GTAATGACGTCACGTATGAGGAGATAACGCACATGCAAATTAGGAACATGGACATGCACACAGATGGAGAGGAAGGACGTACGCACAGACGAGGAGCAAATGTTTAAGACATGCTGTATCCAAATCTAGAGAAAAAATATACACAAATCATCAAGTCAGAATATTGTACCTGAGGTTTCAGCGCATGCAGATACATAGTGACTGCAGCTGACTTTGCCAAAATAGTGTGTTATTGACGTATGTGCATACTATACACCACACAAACACGCACACTCACAGACGCACACACACACATACACACACACACACACACACACATACAAGTGTACTCTCACCACACACACACACACACACACACACACACACACACACACACACACACACACACATACACTATATATATATATATATATATAATGATGATGAAGATCATTTCTATAGCGCCCACTCCCGTGTAAACACAGCTCTAGGCGCTTTACATAAATGCATGTAAGAAAAATATTCATGCACGCGACACACACACACACTCACACACACACACACTCATATACACACAAACACACACACACATATACATATACACACACACAAACACACGCATACACACTCACGAATACATAACACGCACACATGTATGCCAAACACACACAAACACACACTCACACACACACACACACACACACACTCACACACACACACACACACACACACGTACACACACACACACACACACACACACATCTACTTGCTTATCACACGCACACGATTACACATCGTCACGAAATGAGAATAAAATAATATATACACTGCAATTCACAAAATACATAAATGGATACATAGACATTTACATAACATTGTACTGAACATGAATCTACTGACTTAAAAAGGATGTCATTAAATGTGTCTTTAAAGATTTTTTAAATTTAGACTCAGATGTTGTATGTCTCAAGGGTTGGGGAAGAGAGTTCCAAACTGACGGATCAAGGTGGGCGAACGATCTTTCGGCTAATTTTTTACCGCCTTTTCTAGGAACTCGTAAAAGATACTGGTCGCCTGATCCTAGGTATCTAGATGGAACATAAATCTGGATGAGATCACTAAGATATGAGGGAGCTATATATATATATTATACACACACAAACACACACACACAAACACACACACACACACATACACACACACACACACACACACACACATATATATATATATATATATATATATATATATATATATATATATATATAGATTATATATATAATTATTATGCTTTTAATATGAATTTGCACAAACACATAAACATTGTACATCCACACGCAATTCACTCACAGCGTCTATGTTGTAATTCTTAGACTCTTCGTCGTTTGCACGCAGATGACATGGATTCAATTCCAGAAAAGAAAAGTCTGTTGAACTGAGAAGTTGCGTGTTTTGGCTGGTATGCTGTATCCCAGACTACGCGGCTGTTAGACTTTGATAAGCAAAGTTGAAGCAGCCGTCCTCTTAAATTATCATAATTTGTGTCAATGGAGGCGTATAATATTAAAATTTACAACCAACAAAGCTCACCAGGAAGGTTTTCCACCACACTCACGGTTAAAGTGGTGGGAGAGAAGACAGGGCTGTTATCGTTCTCGTCACCAACGGTCACCAGCACCTGGAAACGATCACGTGGTATTTGAGAAAGATCTAATTTGTAAGCTACAGTTTCTTTTCACAAATAGAAGTACGTAAAAAAAAGAAAAACTACTCGTATCACTGCTTTAAGCCTCTTTTGATATCCACAGCAATATTAAAATGAGAGTACGCGCACGAGAGAGAAAAAGGAGGGAGAGAAAGAGAGAAGGGGGGGGGGTGGAGAAAGAGAGGAAGATAGAGCGGAGAAGAATTGAGGAAAAGAGAGAGGGGAGAGAGAGAGAGAGAGAGAGAGAGAGAGAGAGAGAGAGAGAGAGAGAGAGAGAGAGAGAGAGAGAGAGAGAGAGAGAGAGAGAGAGAGAGAGAGAGAGGGAGAGAGGTAAAGTATAATGAAAAGTCAATTTTTAAAAAAAATTTGAGGGGGGGGGGTTGGGGTTGTAAAACAGCTATAACAAAATGAAAACAAAAAATCTGCCCCAGGAGCATAGTACACAGAAACAACAACAACAAAAACCCAACAATAACAACAGCAGCAACAACTACAACAACTGCAACTCACGATTACGTCGCTGGAGCCCCCACTCCCTTCCACCCGCACGGTCAGTCGGTAGAGAGCTATTGACTCACGGTCCAAGACCTTCGCTGTCTGCAGCTGTCCTGTCTGGCTGCCTGTGAGTGTGATGCTGAACGCGTTATCAACGTCGCCACCTCTGTAGAAAATACCCCCAGAAGAGTTGAAAGAAAATGAAACACTTTTGTATTAATAACATCGAGATATCATAAAGAATATTATTATCTATGATTTCAAACACCTTGTTGTGTTGCGCAGTAGGGAACCGGTAGATTAGCATGATAACATGATATTGCTAATAATTGAGATCACTGAAACGCTAAATGATAATGAATGGAACCATTTACTTTCCAAATATGTATAGAATATACATTTAGTTTTAGTAGAGGTTTTACGGCGCTCACAACAGCATAAGGTCATATGAGCGCCAGAAGATTAGAGGTATTACAAGAGAGTAACAAACATAAAAAAGAAGAAGAAGGGGAGATAAGGACGATAGATGTTTGATAGGAAAGAAGAAGCAAACCACACCAGAGCACCCACAACTGCCAACATAGAATACACATAATCATATTATTGGTGACGATCAATACGCCTGGTATACACTTGTTAGTACCAATCGACACAATTTAGCTCAAGGAGGAGGCGGGCTACTTTGACCCGGCTTATCAGGAGCTACACGGCTTTACGTGAAACGCCCTGTGTAGAACGACGGAGATGCTAGATAATAGATGCCTTCTCCACTCGGGAATCGACCTCAAGTCAAGTAAGTAAAAGGCGAAGTGAAGGATGACCTCAAGTCAAGTAAGTAAAAGGCGAAGTGAAGGATGGCCAATTCCTCAGTTCTAGAGGCTACTGCCGAGAAAGTTTGAACTGTTCAAATGTCCCCGTCCAGAGTGGAAGATTCGTCATCATTATTATGCAGGTTTCAAATAACCTGCTGCGAGCTATCATATTCACGTGGCAAACTTTTTGCACATGATATTTTTATCAGGATTCAGAGCTTTCATGCAGTTCCTAAGCTTATAAATGATACTTTGACCATTTTTATTTTTTGTGTTTGATCTGAATTTACATTTCAAAACGTACTGACCTTTCTCTTTGACATCCTAAGCTGCGGCATGGTATAGTGTGGTATGGTGGAATATTATAATGACTTATGAAGGTGGCTCTAAATGTTACGTTCATCTTCGTTCGAATCCAGCAAAGTAGATGGAGAGCGTTATCAAAAAGACAGAATCTCTTAATTAAAGCCCATCTCCGAGCCAAACAGCGAGAACACAGGACAACTCCCCAGACAGCCTTAATTCTAGAACATTCAAAAGGGGCTTCGACCAGAGTCACTCGCACAACAGCCAGGCATAATACTAACTGAATGAGCGGCGAATCCTATTAAGCTACTTCTCCTTTACACCAAAGTTTCAAGTGAGAGGTTGGAGAGCGACATTCGTAGGCCCAGCTACCTTTTGTCTCCTTCTAGTATTTTTGTCAGTTTTTCTTGCGTTCCGGTGTGGAAACAACTTTTACCGAGTATACGTGTCCTGGTATTCCCGCTAGGACACTGTATCATCTCAAACAAGGACAAAGAGTGGAAGATTCGTCATCATTATTATGCAGGTTTCAAATAACCTGCTGCGAGCTATCATATTCACGTGGCAAACTTTTTGCACATGATATTTTTATCAGGATTCAGAGCTTTCATGCAGTTCCTAAGCTTATAAATGATACTTTGACCATTTTTATTTTTTGTGTTTGATCTGAATTTACATTTCAAAACGTACTGACCTTTCTCTTTGACATCCTAAGCTGCGGCATGGTATAGTGTGGTATGGTGGAATATTATAATGACTTATGAAGGTGGCTCTAAATGTTACGTTCATCTTCGTTCGAATCCAGCAAAGTAGATGGAGAGCGTTATCAAAAAGACAGAATCTCTTAATTAAAGCCCATCTCCGAGCCAAACAGCGAGAACACAGGACAACTCCCCAGACAGCCTTAATTCTAGAACATTCAAAAGGGGCTTCGACCAGAGTCACTCGCACAACAGCCAGGCATAATACTAACTGAATGAGCGGCGAATCCTATTAAGCTACTTCTCCTTTACACCAAAGTTTCAAGTGAGAGGTTGGAGAGCGACATTCGTAGGCCCAGCTACCTTTTGTCTCCTTCTAGTATTTTTGTCAGTTTTTCTTGCGTTCCGGTGTGGAAACAACTTTTACCGAGTATACGTGTCCTGGTATTCCCGCTAGGACACTGTATCATCTCAAACAAGGACAAAGAGTGGAAGATTCGTCATCATTATTATGCAGGTTTCAAATAACCTGCTGCGAGCTATCATATTCACGTGGCAAACTTTTTGCACATGATATTTTTATCAGGATTCAGAGCTTTCATGCAGTTCCTAAGCTTATAAATGATACTTTGACCATTTTTATTTTTTGTGTTTGATCTGAATTTACATTTCAAAACGTACTGACCTTTCTCTTTGACATCCTAAGCTGCGGCATGGTATAGTGTGGTATGGTGGAATATTATAATGACTTATGAAGGTGGCTCTAAATGTTACGTTCATCTTCGTTCGAATCCAGCAAAGTAGATGGAGAGCGTTATCAAAAAGACAGAATCTCTTAATTAAAGCCCATCTCCGAGCCAAACAGCGAGAACACAGGACAACTCCCCAGACAGCCTTAATTCTAGAACATTCAAAAGGGGCTTCGACCAGAGTCACTCGCACAACAGCCAGGCATAATACTAACTGAATGAGCGGCGAATCCTATTAAGCTACTTCTCCTTTACACCAAAGTTTCAAGTGAGAGGTTGGAGAGCGACATTCGTAGGCCCAGCTACCTTTTGTCTCCTTCTAGTATTTTTGTCAGTTTTTCTTGCGTTCCGGTGTGGAAACAACTTTTACCGAGTATACGTGTCCTGGTATTCCCGCTAGGACACTGTATCATCTCAAACAAGGAAGGCCCTGACGGGCAGAACCGAAGCCGCCTCCGAAGTGATCTAAATTGTGTCGATCGGAGCATAAAGACATCTCACATTTTAAAAAGTCCATCTTGCTCTTTCCCGGATCTAGATGAGCAACATGTAAATGTTAATGTGCTTCTTTTTCTTCAAACAAACAAACGAAAGAAAAAGTGAACAAAGAAATGAACAATCAAGTAAACAAACAAATAAACAAACAAACGAACAATAGTGCAGCGAACAAAACTCACGTGATTGTGTATGACGTAATGGTACCGAGTGCGTTGTCTTTGGCGATTGTTCCAACATCAGTGCCCACCGCCTGGTTCTCCACTAGGCTGAAGGCGTAGTCAGATGCCCCTGGGGTCACTATGGGCTGGATGGTCACTGCCACGGTTGTTGTTCCTGTCAGTTGTGGCGTACCATTGTCCACTCCTATCACTTGCAACTCGTAGAAATCGCTGGCCGTAGCAAGATCTTTCGTGGTTTGTACTACTCCGGTATCGACGTTAATGCTGAAGAACCCGTCCGCATTTCCAGACTCTATGACGTAGTAAACGGCTGTACTGTCCGCATCGGTGGCAGCAACTGTGTAGATAGTGGTCAGCGGTGATGTAGTACTGGCTATCACGACTTCCTCGCGGGTGGAGGTGAACACTGGAACCTCGTCGTTCCTGTCCAGGACATTCACAGTGACGGTAGCGGTCCCAGTCAGGCTGGGGCTACCTCCATCCTTGACCTCAATCTCTAGGACATACTGGCGAGGACCCGACTCGTAGTCCAGCTGTGTCTGTAAGGACAACACACCAGTCGAAGCGTCCACAGCAAACGTTCCTGAAGTGTCCCCGGGGGTGATGGCGAACGTGTACGTGCCGAAAACTCCCGAGTCTAGATCCTCTGCCACCAGAACATGCAAGGGGCTTCCAGCAGGTAAGGTCTCCGGTATGTCTAAAGTATAAGGCGATGCTGCGACAGTTGGGGCGTGGTTGTTCAAATCAGTGACGGTTATGAGCATCACAGAGGTCCCTGTACGGGATGTCGCTCCGGCGTCATCTTTTGCGTAAACCTGAAGGTAAAAATTCTTATTCTGCGAGTATTCCAACAGAGCTGTTGTGGAAACTTGTCCTGAAGTGAGGTTTACTTCAAAGTGAGAGTTTGACTCAATGGAGTAGGTCACAGTTCCGAACGCTCCGGTATCTGAATCTGTGGCCGTGATGGTGTCAACAGCTGTTGCCACAGCAGCATCCTCGGACACGGTGAACAAGTAAAGGGTACTAGAAAACTCTGGCGTGTGCTGGTTTACTTGCGTTACCGTAATGGTTAAGGTCAGGGTATCGGTCAGTAAAGGATCGCCTCTGTTCGCTGCCAGAATCTCTAGCACGTACTGACTTGTTGTCGCAAAGTCCAATGCACCTTTGAGTTGCAGGGTGCCTTTGAAGGTCTCAATATAGAATTTTTGCTCGTCATTCCCAGTTCGAATGGAGTATTCGAGGTCACCATCGTTGCCCTCGGTAGCTGAGGACATTGTGGCGTCGCTGTCGTAGATAAGAGAACCGGGGATCCTGGTCTCCTCCACGCTGATGCTGGCTGTGCTGGAGCTGAATTGTGGAGGTTTGAACTGAGGGGCAACATGGACAGACACTTGGGCCGTGGCCGAGCGAGAGGGATTACCTCCGTCTGTGGCATTCACCTGTGGATGAAGTAACCGTCTCTGTGAGTGTGTGTGTGTGTGTGTGTGTGTGTGTATGTGTGTGTGTGTGTATGTATCTGAGTATGTGTGTATCTCTCCCTCGCTTGCTCTCTCTCCCTCCCTCCCCCCCCTCTC